TTCTTCCTCTATATCAGTTATTTTCTTCTTCCCTAAATATTTTTGAACAATATGAAGATGTGTTATCGATGACGGTAATAAAGCTTTAATAACAAATTCCTAAACCTAATATGCGGTGCTTAGGCGAAGTTGAAGAGGAGAAATACAGAGAAGATGAAGGTTGTTGAACACCAGGCGAAGGAAGGCTGTCGAACTCCAAGAGAAGTCACAAACATAATTGATGTTGATGGTTGAAATTGAACGCACTTACTAGCGAAGTCGAACGCATGGCGTTCAAACACATGCAAAGTCGAATCCGAAGTACCAAGTTTAGTTTAGTTTTTTAATAATATTTTTTAAAAGAGGCGAATGCCTCATCGAAGTGAGGCAAGGCGTGCCTCTATTCATTAGAGGCATATGCCTCACTTTTCTACCTGAAGGCATTTGCCTTGGCGCATAAAATGTCATAATTGCGCTGAGGTGCGCCACTTGTTGCGCATTTTTAAACCATGGTGACTGCTAATCAAAGCAAGATTGAGGCCATGCTGAGGTGGCCTGTACCCAAGATGTTGAAGGAACTTAGGTGTTTAATTTTTTAGGCCTCATAGGATATTACTGAAAGTTTGTAAAGGTGTATAACTCGATAGCCAGACCACTAACAAAAAAATTGAAGGATAACTTTTAGTCGGGGGAAGCAGTAATCAGAGCCTTCGAGAAGTTAAAAAAAAAACCATGACTATAGCTCTGGTGCTAGCATTCCTAGATTTTAGACATATGTTCATAGTGGAGGAAAATGCCTTGAGCTATGGTCTTGGAACAATACTCATGACAAATTAAAGGCTAGTTGCATACTTCAGTCAGGTACTGACCGCCAGCGCAAGCTCAAATCATTTTATGAGAGGGAGCTGATGGAGATCGTATTAGCCATACAAAAGTGGCGTACGTACTTGTTGGGATAATTCATAGTCAGAACTGATTAGAGGAGCTTGAAGTTTCTACTAGAGCAAATGATAGTGATAGAGGAGCATCAGTGATGACTCTCCAAGCTACTAGGGTATGACTTTGGGATATAGTACCGACCTGGACTAGAGAACAAGGCAGTAGAAGCCTTATCATGATGCTTGGAGACTCCATAGATTTCAACTCTATCAGTTTTGATGATCATGGACTAGGAAGCCTTGAGGAATAACAATGAGCAGAATGAAGGGTTGGGCAATATTAGATATGACTTATTAAAGGATAATGATAGCCACTCTGGATATGCCTTAGTTTGGTTGAAGTTACTATATCAGGGACAATTGGTGCTTCCTCTTCATCATCGTCCATCCCTCAGCTGTTGCGAGCGTTCCATGGCAGTTCAATTGGAGGGCACTCGGGGATGCAGGAAATATACAGGAATTTGGTCGCTGAATTCCACTGAACCGGTATGCAAAAGAATGTGGAAGAAATGGTGAAAAGTTGTGATTGCGTCAAAGACACAAGTACTTGACAATGGCTCCCGAGGGACTCCTATGACCTTTGGCAATGCTAGGAAAAGTATGGGAGGTCACTATGGATTTTATGGAGGGGCTACCCAAATCATCAATGTTCATAGTCATTCTTGTGGTGGTAGATCGATTGAGCAAGAATGCACATTTTACTACGCCACCACTATACGACAATATCCGTCATAGAGGCATTCACAAGAGAAGTGGTTTGTCTACATGGCTTACCAAAGTCTATAGTGCAAAATCGAGACAAGATATAGAGTGGGAGGATTTTTTTTAGAGAGCAGTTTGGAGAAGGGGGGGGGGGACTATTGTTGTCCAGAATACATTTCAAGAAAATTCTTGTGTGGGAAAACTGATCTACCACTTGAAGAGTAGATTAAAGCTATCTTTCTTTCCGATATTGAGTTTTAGTATTGTTTTTCTCTGTTTTTAAGGGTTTTCTTGTACGGTTGCATTGTATTTTCTATTTTCTTTGATTTAAGGGTGTTGAAATTAGTGTTTCCTTTTTTTGGGTGCTGTTTTAGTGAAAAAATTACTATTTTCTTGGTCAAGTCCTATCAGGAACCCAAATAGCTTTTTTTTTTTTTTTTGCCCCTTTATTTGTGTCCGTAGTCACTATAAACAATGAAATGTATCTGAAATACAACATGCACCTTATCATTACTACTACTATGATACTTGCCGTCATCATACTTGATAATATAAATTACATTATGTTAGCATAGGAGATGCTAGTTTCTATTCTATTTATGGGATTGGATGTAGGTTATGGCTTGTTGATCATATATTTCGCTATGGTCATCATAATGCACTGATAAAGTTACCTTGGCCATGTCTTAGGAACCAAGTCTCAATCTTGGTATTTGATATGAAGTAGATGCAGAACTTGAAGAAAACCTTGACTGAATATTCAATTTTAGCAAAATAGAAATTGGTAGCAAGTAAACGATAAAGAATAACACTCCAGAACACTTTTTATTAGATTATAAATGAAGATAAATGAAGATAAATGAAGATAAAGATAAGGTACATATGATCTACGATTCGAGAGGTAGATCGACTCTACTAAACAATCATTTATCATTTAATGTCACAAAGCATTACAGGTCTCACCACCATTTACCATTTTATAAAATTTTCTCTTAAGTTTGAGGGCTATTTTTCTATCACACAATAAACCCGATGCATTTCTCCACTTCATCTATATAAGTTGATTTCTACTAATAAAACACCAATCTATTTGACCATCACTTTGAACAATAGACCCTATTATATCTTAAATGTCTCCGCTTTTTAATGATTTGTTCACCCAATGTAAGGGTGTCATTTTTTGACACGACCTGAACCTGACCCGGAAAAATTCGGGTTCGGGTCGACCCAGTTAGCAAATGGGTCGGATTCGGGTTCGAAAATCTTGCACGATTTGAGTTACGGGTCGGATTCTGGTTGACCCGGAAATGATTCTGCCCGTTTCTGTTGCCCGGCGTGCCCGCCCTGCCCGCGAAATGATCCGACGCGTCGAGTCGCAATCGCTCAGTCTGTCAGTTGTCGAGTTGCCAGTTCGCCTCCTTCGAGGCTGTCATCGCTGCTGCCGCTGCAGCACCTCCGCCGGTGTTGCTGCTGCGCCGTCGTCGCCGCTGCTACCGCACAGCCGGTTCGTGTCGAGTCGTTGATGCACCGCGAGTTCTCGTCGAGTCACTGTCGCTGCCGCTGCCGCGCCGCTGTCGCGCCGCTGTCGCTGCTGCCGCACTGCTGCCACTGCCGCCTCGCCGAAAATGGAAGTAGCTTCCTGATTTTCTCGCGCGCTTCAGCCAAAGATTAAAAAATTCGTGTCGTGTTGTCCCGAACCCGAAGCGGGTTTGGTTCGGGTCCAGAAAATCGACCCATTTGTAAAAACGGGTCGTTCGGGTTGACCCGAACAGTGCCAGGTCAGTTCCGGGTTCGACCCGAACACGACCAGTGACACAAAATTGACACCCCTAACCCAATGTGACAATCCTTCCACTAATCTATTATTACTAAAATTGTACTCCTTGTATCTGATTTTGGATCTACTAAGACAAAAACCTTTAGACTCTAAGGTTGACCTCCATAATTCAAGTTTTTCATCAAGTGCCTCTCTAGTCTTATAAACAAGAAGAATGTCATAAGCCAAAAGAATACATCGAGATACACCATTTTGTAAATGTCTAGTAATAAAAAATTGAAGTAGTTTTTTAAAACATATTTTATATTTTTTTTCAAATTTTTATATAATATCAGAGCTTGATTAGTGTTTCCTTTTCTCAGCCTTTGTTATCTTTTTCAAATTCCTTGTTGAATAGATTTTTCCTTGTCTTCATTATGTCCGGTTTATTTAACTTCTCTTTCATGGAGTTGACCTTCTGTAATGTTGAAAATTAGAGTAAAGAAGAACTTTAGGGGCTATAGGCTTCATATTGCTTTAATGGGAGAAACTATTTGGAGTGATCCCAAATTGTTAAGCTCTTTCTAAAAAGGAAGGGAAAAATTCATCATTTTGTGCATCCTCATTTGGAAATGCAACACCCAAAGTGTGTATTCTATGATAAAGCTGATTGCATGATTGGGTTATAGTTGTGGAATAATATGATGCATGAATTTAATGGGTCATACTTGTATCTGTCTACCGCAAAAGAAGTTCAGCACTCTATGAAAGAAATGTATTCAAAAGGTAAAGGATATTCCCTTCAGCCATGAAGCAATGTAACTTTTGGATATTGCATTAAAGTTAATTGTTTTGAGCTGGATTATCACCAAGGTCTCAAAATGTACTCTGATGATATAGTAATTCTCAAACAATTTGTAGAAGTGGAAAGACGGTTTGGGTTTCTTACTTGACTCATTATTGACTCTGGCCAAGTTCATGTTTAAATTTTAAGCAGAGAAATCCCACCTCTAAATGAGATTTTCTTTCTTACACGGGTTGAAAAGGAAGATAGATTGATGATGCAGACAACTAGATGGAAAAAAAGCCAAAAGGGAGAACACAAGGGCTAGTAAAACTTTTCTCGATTCAAAATTTAGAAAACCAACATCAAACAAAGCTCCAAACAAACGAAAACTAAATTAAAAATAAAAATTGTTGCCCTCAGAAAAACCAACTAGCGATCACCTCACATGCAACGAAATAGTTGGTATAATAAAAGATGTGCTTAAGGACATATAAACCAAGGGACCACAGCTGCTTGGGCCAACGTCCACCACAAACCCCTTTGTCAAATGCTACCTCAGGAAGGGTTGTTGCAATTATAATTATTTTAGTTTACCACAAATGCTAATTTTAGGTTTAACTCAATTATAATTATTTTAGTTTGTCTCTCTTAGTAACATATCTTGAGGGTTCAACAATTTCTTACCTCAGGAAGGGTTGTTGCACCCAACTTCCCAGCTTGAATCTATAATGTTATTTATAACTCCTTGTTTGAAATTGTAATTGATTTATTAATTCTCAGTTAGCAGAATCTTTTGCTTCTTTAAGTTATAAAGTTAGCTTTTCTCTTCCTCTTTCAGGTCATTGCCGTTATGCTGTTGATTTTCATTGGCATTGCTCCTGCAATTTTGGTGCTTGCCATTTCTGCAACTGTGGTTTTGTGGTTCTATGGCAGCTTTTGGACGACAAGCCTTGTCACTTTAATGGGAGGTTCACTTCTGTTTTCCTTTTTTAGAATTTTTGTCTGGATGATGCTTTGGCATGCCTGATGCTAAACAGTTAGACAATCATTTTTAATACCTTGAGAAATAAACATGTAGGTGCCTCATTTGGCTTGCATCATGAACGAATTGCACTTTTTGTGACTATGCTGTATTCTCTGCACTGCGCAAGAAGTTATATGGGCTGGCTTGGCTTGCTTCTTGGCCTTAATCTATCTTTTATATCTAGTGATGTTCTAATTCACGTCCTAAAGAATAATGCAAATGAAAATAGGTATGACTTTCCACAACAACAAGATACAAGGCAAAATGCTAGAGCAGATTTTTGCTTTCATTCATATTGTTCTGCTGTAGATAATGTCTTTTATACTTCATGTAGGGGATCAGCTGATTTTAGCCACGAGATTCCTTCAACCAGCGGTAGAGAAACAGAGTTAACATCTGAAGATGAAGTAGCTCGGCTGTTGAATAGTTGTGATCACTATACAGCATTGGGCTTCAACCGGTTTGAAAATGTTGATGTTTCTGTGCTCAAGAAAGAGTACAAGAAGAGGGTAAATCCTTTTTACTAATTGTCATTGTCGTTGCTAATGTTGTTTTATTTGCCACTTATTGTGCCAATATACTGAAATAATTAGTTAAAAGCATCATTTCTTAATTTCATCATTGAAGATAATAAACAGTAAAATGGCATTTCCAGGCAATGCTAGTCCATCCTGACAAGAACAGGGGCAATGAGAAAGCTGTAGAAGCCTTTAAAAAACTTCAAAATGCATATGAAGTAAGCTTACTTCAGTTGCGATTTTTTTTGGGGTTCTATTTTCATTTTATTCAACACTTAACTATTTGGCATGAGCATCTTTTTGATGTGTAGGTTCTGCTAGATTCCATTAAGAGGAAGAACTATGATGATGACTTGAGAAGGGAGGAGCTTTTGAATTACATTAGAAGTTTTCAGACTTCATCCCATAAGGTGTTTTTCTTCTCCTTGCTCTTACTGCATCAATGATCTAATAATTTATTCTCTTAGCTGTTACAATGCTAAACTTCCAGAATTCACACCTAAGCTTACTATTTAGGTCACATGTTCTTATTTCCTAAAATCTGATACACTTCAATGTACTAGGATGAGAGGCATGGTATCTTGAGTTTTGAATCCACTCATATTGATGCTGAAGATAGAGGTTCTTATGGAGAATCAAGAAGAATCTTCTGCAAGAAGTGTGGTACCTTCCATATATGGAATCCTATAGAAAGATCAAAATCTCAAGCAAGATGGTGTCAGGTCCTTGTTTTTTAATTCACTTTTTAAGGGTTATTTTTTCTAAAAAGGAGTAATACCGTGGATATAATGATATAGTCAGGTATATTATTATTGTGAATTTCATTGCAGGATTGCAAAGATTTCCATCAGGCTAAAGACGGTGATGGCTGGCTTGAACAGTCAAATGTTCCATTTCTTTTTGGATTGCTGCAGAAGGTTAGTATTATGCCATACATAATTTAGGTTGGTGTTTGCATGAATTCACCTATATCATTTTTTTAATTTCACTAAAACTAGGGCATCATTATTTAGCTTTTATTTTTTTCCAAGTTATACCTTTTACTGACATAATTCTATTGCGTATCTGGTCAATAAAATTTAGGTTGAAGCCCCACGTGCTTATATTTGTGCAGAAAGTAGGATATATAATGCAACCCAATGGGTCATTTGCCAGGTTGGTGCTTAAGTTTCCCTGTTTTCAGACATAAAGCTTCACTTTCCATTCTTTATCAATTTTATTTTGTTGGATTCGTTGTTTTATTTCTCAAGGAAACATCTAGTGCCATGTATATTTTGAATATTTTTAGTTTCATTCCAACTATGAAGCGGTATGGATGTGTGAGGATACAGTGCCCATAAATCTAATAAATGGCTGTAAATGTATTCAGTTAGTATGATATAATATAACAACTAGGCTATTCTCTTAATCTGAAGACTTTTTGCTTATTTCTTGTTGTGTTTGGACTCTTCTATTGCTGTTCTCTTCACTCAATTGGCTTATTTTCAGCAATCAGCAATTTATAACGGCAGTGATACAGCAGCCCTCAGTTAACCAGAGCAGCATCTGTTGCAAAACAGAGAAGCAGCAGCAAATTGAAGTGACAAAACAGGTAGATCAGCAGGAATGTGGCAGTCAAAAGGTAGCAGCAAAGCAGTTGGCCAGCTTTGGGAGGACAGTGACAGTGCATGCAGAAAACAGGGGCAAGTCCCCAAGCTCCCATATTGGTACAGGGAAAATATGGTCTTTGACTATTGCTATAGTACCTGGAGAAAACTGAGCGGCAGTGAAGGGTTGAACCGCAATATTTACAACAGGGAGAGAATGCAGAGGAGAAGAAAAAATTAGTTGCTTTGGGGAAATTTCTGATTTTTCAGATTGCTTTTTCTTCAGGATTTTAATCATATTTATAGGCAATTAAATGGAAATAGTTCTCATTCACACCTAAACAAACTCCACAAAGAAAGAAACCCAAGCTATAATAACAAATTTATATAGGTTCAAAAGAGAAGATAATTACTGTAGGAATTATTCTAATTTGAATTTAAATTCAAATACAAAACCCATCCAAAAAACTTTGTATTCATACTTATCTCTGTTATAATATGAAACTTGATCCAACGGTCTAGCTATTGGTGCCTTTAAATTCCTTGTATGGTGTCCTGTAAGTTATCCATTTGCATCCTCAAACTTCTGAAAACTTCCTATTCAATCTTAATGGTTCGTTCTGATAATCATCAACATTGAATTTTTTTTGGGGTGAAATTGAACCTTTAAATATTAAAAAAAAAATCTCTTTGATTTTTTTCACAATTTGATGCCAAAATCAGAATCATAGGAAATCTGATGGATCGCTTACTAGATTTGATTTCCTAATCATGGCTATCCCATTTAGACAGCTTTCTCTCTTATGAAATTAATGCTCTAGAAAATGGAAAGTTGCATGCCTAGCTTTATTGGTGTAAACCATTTGGCTTTGATTAGTTACTGGCCTTTCTTGCAAATGTGATGTCTCCTTAGACCCATATCTGAATGTGGCAATCTTTTGCTCTAAAAAGATACCTAATTCTAGAAGTACTTCCTGCTCCAACAGTAGATCATCCATGCATGGTGGATAATACTTCTTTTGATGCGCCATCAAGCACAGAAGGGTCAAAGTCTTTATATTTCCGCACTTACCACCAAATATATTTCCATATTTGAATATAGTTTTATATAACAAGTATTGTCCCCAAACTTCGTGAGAATTTTAAACAGCCCACATTAATTGACTTAATCTTCTTTATTTCTTGTTTGAGGTGATCTTTGCTTAAATGTAACTAAACAAGATCTCTTACTTGGAAGTTGGCCTCAACATGGTAACGAGCATGCCTTTCTTTATAATTTTGTTAGGTATTTTGCATTTGCTTCTCTACTAATGCATGAATTTTGTAGACACCCTTTGGAAATCCTTGAGCAATTTCTATAGGTCATTCTAGTGGTAACCCTTGCACCTCCTAGAAGAGAGGTGCATACTTCTCTAACAAATGTTGCAGGTATACATCTCCAGCAATGCTCAATGTATATATAGATAAAGACTCTTCTTTTCCCAAGTGGCATGCATGATTATTCAAAGTAAATATCGTGTTAGCATTTATATATTTACTTTCTTGTCTTGCCATCACAAAATTCATTGTTGGTACACCATAATCCTTCTGGCAAGTACTCCTTTTCATCCTTAGTCAACTGACATTAGCAAAAATGGTAATTCAACAATGCATAATTATCATGTGGGTATGAATCACCAACAATAATCTGATAGATGCTAGGTGGCATCTTCTTACACATCTTCTTGATGATTGCAAACTTCAATAGATTTTGGTGATCAGTTCTCATCTTGAACCACTTTAGAATTCAACCTCAAAAATAAGGACATGGGTGAGGTTTACTTCCTAAACCCAACTTTTACACTAGAGTGGTAGAAATGAGATTCTTCTTGCTACCACTATCAATGATGTCACAAATCACCTCTTTGCTTGGATCTTTAGAGTGAACAACTTTTCTTGTGTGTCTAAATTAAGGCATGACCTGCCACTATGGCTTTTTGACATTGTTATCAAAGATAGGGATGGACCTGTTTTGTCTACCGGACTAAGCATGGTGTTGTTCACAATCATAGGAATTTTCTTCCCTTCCCTATCCTTTTCTAATGCGGACATCCAACGGTGAACACTTATTTGAGGAAGAGACGAAGATCAACGACCGAGATCATCCCACTTTATCTTAATTTACTAATTGTATTTTTTTTTGTTTTATTTATGCATTTTTCATTTTTACCCTTTCTCAAGGGAGTTGTCCTTTGTAAGCCCTAGGGGCATGTTTGTCTTTTTTGAGTCTCTTTTATTTTGAGGCAGATATATAGAGGCCCTTGCTATTGTATTGGTATGATGGATTATTAATAAAAAAAATTTTTGCACTATTGTTCTTTGGGAAGAACTTTGATGAGATCCCTATATGAGGAAAGCATAGTATCCACCAGCCGCAAGATGTGTCCGGGTTCTTGGTTTGAAGTCCCTTGGTGAAGGGCAACATATCACCTGTCAGCCACAAGAAGCGTCCGGGCTCCTGGTTTTTATCTTTATTTCCCTACACTTCTTTTCTTCTTCTCTAATTCACCTTCTTCTTTCTTCTAGCCTGTGGGCTCCGAAAATTCGGCCTCGGTCTCCACTCGCTTTTCTTATTCGGCGAGGGAGTTTTAACGAATTAAGTTCCGAGGTAAATTTTGGAAGGCAGATGGGTTTGTAGATAAGACACTACCCAGAGATTTCGCCCTCATTTTGTGAGGACTTTATGATCTGAGTTCTGGTTTCCTATAGGCGCAAGCCCCTATAGTTAATTACCCCTCCCGATAACAAGAGAGAACTTTCGATTAAGGCTAGTCGTCAATCAGATACGTAGAGAATACGTATTATCTGGCATATAGTAGCAGCAATAGATTTGGATTTGGAAATTGAAGAATTGAATTTTTGGATTTGGAATTTGAGATGGAAGATTTGATATTTAAATAGAAATTGCACCATCTTGCACTTAAAGCGGATGGTGGGGGAATGGATGATGGACCCGATCAAGATCCCATGGTTCCGTCGTCCCCGGCCATCGTGGTCCCTGGTCTACTTAGTCAGAGGAGGTAGTCGACCCAACCTGACAGAAGGATCCTTGTCGGCAGCCATGGGTTGCTTCGTCCAAAGGGACCTCTTAGACCGGGGTTGAATGTTTGTCTAAGGGGACAAATTTGAATCCACCTTAGCTAACAGAGGGCTTTGTGCCCTATCGATCATATCCTATTGATTCATATCTCAAGAATTTGATATCATTAAGGAGTGTATTGTGTCTGGCAATAACAGGTATTTCGTGGTGCCATTTGGCGGCAAAAACCACTCGGTTCAGAGGGCCCCGGGTCATAACCGTTTACCTGCAGTGCCATTTGGAGGCGAAACTGCCGGTTAGAGGACACGTACCACGTCCTTACTGGCAAGAGATTGTTTGAGAATGGATCCTAGTGATATTTTCGACTAGGCATTTGGCTCTTTGTGAGCTAGAGTTTATTCGAATTTATCCGCCTCGACAAACTGTTGCGGAGGGCGAATGGATTTTGCTTTAACTGCGTTGATGGATTTATTTCAATTTTAAATATTTTTGGGATTTTTGATATTTTCTGGGATTTTGGGTGGAGCTTGGAAGATATTTGGAATGGACTTTTGGGAGACAATTGAAAATATTTGGGAACCCCTCCGGTTGAGATCTGCATTCAACACGGCCATCATCGGGGTGTTTGGGGTCATTTTCACTTTATGGATTGAACCTTGTCGACTCTATCGGGCTGTCGACAGAGGATCGGGTTTCGTAGGCTTTTTGCCCTTGTAAGTGAATTCTTTTGATTAAAGGCTTTGGAGGCCTGATATGAATGTATTAAAACAAATATATCGGTCGTAGCAATCGTATATTTGTTTGAGAGTTCGAACCTTGTCGACTCCTATTGACCCGTATAGGAGGATCGGGTCCGAACAAGAATTCACTTGTCAACCCGCGCAGCATCCCTAGACGTCACGTGTGTACCAATAACACGCTCGCCGGGGCCCATGCGAGTGTTTGATTACATTTACCCCTTTTAGTGTACCTATGTGTATACAATTTATAGTGCACGTGCAGGGGCACTCTTGGAATAGACGCCTTCTGTCTGCTTGTACGAATGCTGCAGATCCGGTGGCGTGGCGTAGCAGCTTCTGAATAGACTTGTTCGCTGCTTCGTACAGGTAGACTGTCGTGCACTATTTGTTGATTTTGTTGGCGGGTCATAGTGCACTAACTAATCTCCTGCCTTGGATCGTAGGAGCTTGCACTTGTTTTAGTTCTTTGGCATTTGTTTGTAGACTGTATGTGATATTCGTAGTGGGGCTCCAGCAGAAGCTCGTGAGAGATTGAATCTTTCGTAGTTTTCATGCATTTTATTGTGGTATTTGATCCCTTATAGTATATCCGTCACTGTTACAAGTGGGCAGGTATATGTATTCATTCACAGACTGAAATTGACTTCAGGATACTGCATTTACTGAAGTCTTTTCACATCTACCCATAAATGACATGTTATACATACATCCGTATTCGTAGAAAGATTGTATGTATTGCAGATCTTTGGT